ACCCCCCCAACCCCCCCCCCCCAAAAAAAAAACCCCTATAAAAACAACAACAGTCTTACAATTGAGTGGCAATCTAAAGATTGCGCTTCGCTGCGCTGCGAGTTTTCGTATAATTGCATCATTCTTATGCTCTCTTCAGTTTCATAATATGTTAATTTTTATTTTAATTTTAATTTTCATATCTTTACACTTTTGAGAATACTCGTATATATATGTGAATGTTCCTTTATGCGAGAAAAAGAATAAAGATGAAAGTGATTTTTTTTAAAAATTAAAAAAATACAAAAATATATTAAATATATCGTGAGAACGTAAAAGTTTGATACCTGGCATTGTATCATTCATGTGAGCTCTTCAGTTTCATAATATGCTAATTTTATTTCTAATTTTAATTTTCATATTTTTACACTTTTGAAAATATATGTGAATGTTCCTTGATGTGAATAAAATATGAAAATGTGAATTAAAAAAAAAATTTAAAATTTAAAATATTAACGCAATCTGTAGACGTTAAAACGCGCGACCTAATTTGAAGAGTGCGCCGCTTGGTAAATAGCGCGGAACAAATATTATATTAACTGCGGACGTCTCTCTCTCTCTCTCTCTCTCTCTCTCTCTCTGTGTGTGTGTGTGTGTGTGTGTGTGTGTGTGTGTGGCAGACGCACTATAAAAGCGACTTGTCCAAGCAATATTTTTACTCTTTTTAGTTGAACCGCCCCCAAAAAACAACAACAAAAAACCCAACAACAAACAAACGAATAAGAAAAAACAAAAAGCAAAAGAAAGCAACGCCCCCCCCCCAAAAAAAGCCCAACAAAAAACAAAACAAAACAAAAACAAACAAACAAACAAACAAACCAACAAAAAGACCTCCATAGTAAATTAGCACTCACTTCTTCTCCTCTTTCTGCACTGCATGCCGAGGTTTTGGTACAGAAACTTTCAGCCAATCAGAGCGGGTGTAACAGACGAAGGCGATAATGGTCAAGACAACACATATGCTCAAATGACGTTTGTTCAGCAACATCGTTCTATAGAAGCCAAAACTCATCTGGCGAAGTTTGAACATAATTATAGTATTTCTGTAGGTCAAAAATTGTGAATTTAATTGAGACTTTGTCTTTAAATGCAAATACAAAATGTCCACTTTCTTTTAGTAGATCTGTTCAAACGTGTCCACTCTGTTGTTATCGCTTTTAAAAAAGATTAAAATACAAACATACGTATCTTTAAACAGTCAATCTAGTTAAAATATAGCCTAACTACCACTGCGTTTGATTACTTCAATAAGATTTCAATAAAGCAGATTTTTAAAAAAATGTGCAAATGACGAGCAAACCACTTTAAAATATGCACAGAAACATCCTCCTCACGGAAATGAAACAATCAGCTAACTAACTGTCTTTATGATCACGTTCCTCGTACAAAATGTATGAAATCTGTAAACTGTAAACTGCAAACTGCAAACTACATGAAATAAAAGGAAATAACCCAACAGGGTCGCAACCAGAAAGAGACAGATTCGGGTTTTTTGGTTTTCGCCACGGGTGTCGTGGTGTCACGCAACCAAAGCCGTTAGAGTAAGAGAGTCTCTCTCTCTCTCTCTCTCTCTCTCTCTCTCTCTCTCTCTCTCTCTCTCTCTCTCTCTCTCTCTCTCTCTCGCCCTTTTTAACTCCCAGTGAAGTACAGGCCATCAACATCATTACTCCAGCGAAGCCTGTCCTGAGCATCGTTTTTTAAAATCTGTTTCCATGATGTCCCCGCTTTTTCAATTTCCGCTTGTACCGCTCGCCTCCATGTCATCTTTGATCTTCCCTTCTTACGTTTTCCTTGTGGGTTCCATGTTAAAGCCTGCCTGATGATGCTTGTTGTGGGTCTCCTCAGGGTATGTTCTATACATTTTCTTTTCTTCACCTGTATGTCTTCTTTTACTGGCCCTTGGCTTGTTTTCCCCTCAGTTGAAAGGAATCTTGGAGAGAGAGAGTCTTGGTGACCACTAAATAACTATTTGTGTCAAGATGTGATGGAATCAGACGCTCGTCAATTTTTGGGCATGTAGAATTATTGATACCATCTGAAAGTTGATTTAGATCTATTTGCCTTGCTTTCAGTGAAAAAATAAATATTATCCATTTAGCTTGAATAGGAGTTGAGATATTTCCGATTGAAGAAGGTGAGGTAGCCTGGTTTCAGTGGTTAAATTAATGAGAAAAGGGCAGCCAAAGTTTGGTAGCTTCAATAGCTTAAGAGTCTTTGAGAACTGAACATTATATATTTTGTGCCTAAAACAAAGTTTTTCAGTAACATTCACAAGGCCATTAGTCTTCACATGAACATAAAAGGTGTTTAACCAAAGAACAACATTTCGATATAAATTGCCAAACTTGTGGAAAATGCCCTTTTTTTTCGATTTCATTAGTTTGACGAGCGCCTGATTTCACCACGATGCCTCACATTTAATGAGACTTTACGGTGACTATAAAGATGGTTCCAGCAGGGAACGGGATAGAGGGTGCCCAAGTCCCTCGTAACTCATTGGAGCAGAGGAAGATAGGACTAACGCTAACATTACTTAAACGCAATGCCACATCATCGTCACTCATCACCACCATTATATCTAAAATCATGAGCGCTCTCAGATCAATGACTTACCATCTATAATCCTGGAATCTCTATCTGCTATTACAGTTACTTGCTGTACTAAGTATGCACGTAATACACTATTGGACACTATCATACGCACTTTTTTCCCCTA